GTTTTGAGATTTGATTGGATATACGTTTGACAACATTGTTTGATATTTCATCATTTCCAGGACTCTTATTAATTTTTAAGCTTTGGATAATTTCTATAATTTCGTATTCAGTAACTGGGTTTAAAAAATCGAATCAAGATAAGGTGGGTTAAGAAAGCAAGAGAAATGTTGATTAGTTTGAATATTAATTTTTGCTGCAATATCTGGTCCGATGTTTACAAAATAGTCATTTAGTTTTTTAGCAATAGTATGGGAGTCTGTAATTGTTGATCCATCATGTAGGAAGTATGACGGGGAACTTTTATGTTTGTTGTTACGACCAAGAACACTATTAATTATTTGCCAGGTTTTAAACATATTATTCTTGTATGAATTAAATTTATTATTATAATATTTTTTACGAGAAGTTTTTAATATTTTGGTTAACCTGTTTCTATAAGTTATATACTTATCTTTGACAGATTCCCTTTTTGATTTAATATATCTTTTGTATAACTTGTTTCTTGTGTCTATAGATTTTATTATGTTATTAGTTATCCAATGTTTTTTTTCCATTCGAATATTTCTTTTCTTTCTAACTTTTTTAATGTGGGTGTCATATATTTTTAGCAACTTATTTGCAAATGAATTGTAAGCATCATTAGGATTATCATTGTTGTAAACATCGGACCAGACAGTACAAGGAAGATTATTACTTAGAGAGGAAATTGTATAATCACTTATTTTCCTAGACATAGAGTATTTTATATTATTATTAGATAGAGAATGAGATAAATTTGAATGAACAATAGAATAGATAGGAAAGTGATCAGATATGTCAGAGTAAAGAATGCCAGGAGATATTTTAGTTTGCATGTTGTTAGTAAATATATTATCGATAAGGGTGGCAGTTTTAGTTGTAATTCGAGTAGGTCTATGGATTAGGGGATATAAATTATAATTAAACATATTACCAAGAAACTCAGAGGATTGCTTATGTGTACTATACTTAAGTAAGTCAATGTTAAAGTCTCCGGCAATATAGGTTATTTTATTTTCATTCTTTATTACATCTAGAAGAAATGATATATCAGAATTAAAAGTAGGCAATGATAAGTCCGGTACTCTATAGACGGTTCCTAAAATAATATTCTTAGGTTCAGCCTTTATTTCAATAAAAATAGATTCAGCAGTTGTAGAGATTAAATTAGAAAGATCATTACGAACTGTGTATTGTAAATTCTGGTCCAGATATATGGCAACACCACCCCCGTTCTATTAGTTCTAGAAGAATGCAGGAGTGAATAACCTGGTATGTCGTAAAAAGAAAAAAACAGTTTTATTATTGTTAAAAAAGGTTTCAGAGAAAGATAAAGCAGAGAAATTATGATCCAGCGTGCTTAGGAGGTCTGTTATTTCATTGTAATGATTAACCAAACTTCGAGAATTCATATGAAAAATACTAATAGAAGAAGCAATATTATTAAATTTAGAATTAAAAGTATCTATAAGATCAAAATTACATTCATCATTATTTTCAGGATACATAGGATTAGGGTTAACTGCATTATTCATTGAAACATCGAAAGGGTCTAAAATTAAAGATTGTAAATGTTCAAAATGAACTTTATGATTGCAGAAGAAGTATTTAAGTTCATGAATAAATTCATTGTCATCTAATATATTGTTGTCCATTCACATAAGCAAAACAATTTGGAAGAGTGCATTATATACAAAAAGCATTAAAAAGTTAGCAATCAACCAGTCACAGAAGATTAATTAGTAGTCCTAACTGCTGGAAGGGCATGCATCAGCCGAATGTAGTACAATTGTTTATCAGTGCGATTAATCTGCTCAATAAACAATTTTAATTACTTGTGCAAATATAAAGATGTGGGTAACCCACATCTTTATACACGACTTTTCACGGATCTCGACCTGCTACGTAGGCCCTCTTTAGGCTAGACGCGCCTAGACGGTTGGAAGCGGCGATCAAAGAAAAACGGTTAAGCAAGCCAAATACTTCGCTAACTTCCATTCCTCAGTATTAAAATCCTTCCATTGATGGGCACTGTCTAAAACTTTCTTCCAGCTTATCTCTAAAAAGATTGTAACCTTTTCGTCTGCAGTTGGCTCAACATGAATTACACAGGAGCTAGTGAGCTTCCATGACGGCCTAGGCTCGGACATGACATGTTGTTTGTTGTTATTTCGCGACGTCATCAACGAGTACAGTATCCACCATCAACTAAACTTCCTTAAAGGAAAAAAATTGGTTCGTGTGGGAATCGAACACACAACCTCCATGTTTTCTATACATTATCCACCGTCAACTAAACTGCCTTAAAAAAAAATCCAACCTCCATAATATATATAATTATAGACGTTGTCGCAACGTCATAGTACCTTGTTGGTCCGACATCGGTAAACGTTTGAAATAGATGTTGGGTACCACCGTTGGGCCGACGTTTAGAGTTTCAAACGTTTACCGACGTCGGGCCAGCAACGTACTGTGACGTTGAGACAACGCCTACAACTCTTTATAATCTTGATCATGCTAATGATTACAATTTGCTGAATGTGTATCGCTGTCACCTAAGGTGAGACTTTATTTTATACCTTGTAAGCGAACCCACCGTCTGCAAATATTGATGATTTCGAATACAAATAAAATTTATTTTTGGCCAATTAGCGCACCCGCCGCCACGAAAGAGTGGAAATTTCAGAAAAAAAATAAAAGGTTTTCTTTATTTTTATTACGCCCTCCGCTGCCTTGAAATCTCGAAAGATAAGATATGTATGTTTCTTCCTTATATCAATTTGAAGCATTGAACCATCCTATTTTACATTCACCAATAAAATTTTATTTTTATTGGTGAATGTACGCGAAACAAGAGATAAAAAAAGTCTTGCCTAATCTAAGTTGTAGACAACCATATATCAGAAATCTA